AGGAAAAACCCCCCCCCCCCCCCCCCCCCGTCTTCCCTGCCACTGCCACATATCATCACAGGGCAAAGGAAGGGGCCTGTAGACCCCAGAGTTCCTCTATATTGCTGCCCCAGCCCCCCCACCTCCAAAAATATGTGTAAGCAAAAGGCGTTTCTTCTTTTTTTCTTTTTTTTTCGGGGGGGGGGGGCATCTGGTCAGTACAGGGATTGAACACTGAACCTTGGTATTATAACCCCAGCCCTAACCCAGAAATAGGAGTCTCTAATGGACAGTTCCATTAGTAATTTCAAGCGATTTTTCCCAAGCCAATCAAAACCCCTTTCCTTCCTCTTGCTTGAGTTTTTTCCCACTTCCCTGTAGGGAAACTTGGGCTCCACTCCAGGGCTAGGTGATAATTTTGAAAAGGGCTCTGTTGGGGTTCCAGCAAGCAAAATGTCCACCAAGATTACCCATGCCCCTATTCCCATTTACTACCCCTCCGCAGATTCCATAGATGGAGTCCCTCCTCTTCTCTGTTCTTTTCTTTTTTCTTTCTGTAATATCTTCCTGTAATCCTTGTCCCATCTCCCACTTGGGACATTCCCTGCCCTTCCCATTCTCCAAAGTTTCCTTTTTGGGTCAATCTCCTAATAGATCTGGGCCCCCCTTGGCCTCCAGCTCTTCTGTTTTCCCTGTCCAAAGACAGAGACTAAGAGAAAGCCCCCTAACCAAGTCCTGATGACTCCTATTTCTAGATCTGTCTCCTCCAGACCAACCAGATCAACCAGTCGAATCCCCCCTCTCTCTTTCAGTCAACTATAATGCTCCCCTCACATAACCTACATTAAGCCTCATTAACCAACATCCCAGGGGACACAGAGACCAGCTACTTTGTGTGTATGTGTGTGTGGTAGAGGCAGGGAGTGATATTGGTTTGGCTGGGCTTTATTATTATTATTATTATTTTTTTTTTTTTACAAAAACATGATCTAGATTTGGGGGATGGACCAGCAGTGGCACCAAGGGGTGGTTTGGGGGTGGTTTTAGCTTCCATGCCATAAACTTAGTTTACATAAACACGTGCCTGCTATACAAACATGGCTTCAAAACAAGAGGTCCATCTCCCTCTTTCTTTTCTAATTCTTTCTAATCTGATTCCAATGCTGAGGTTTTCCCAGGTGAGCCTGGGTGGAAAACAGCACGGGCCAGCATCATCAAGCGGGAGGAAGAAGCCAGGCTCAAAGGATTTTAGAGCCCCTGCTGGGACCATTAGAGACCATCGTGTCCAATCCATTCCTTTCCCAGTAAAGAAACTGAGGAAGTAAAGGAGAAGGTTAAGAACGTTGCCCAAGGTGACTCAGCTTGGGTAGATAGAGTCAGGGTAAAAGTTGTTTCCCTGGCTCCCAGGCCAGTGAAGGAAGGGGGAATCTCTTTTTGGTGTATCTGGATTTTCAAACCCAGCTTGAAGAACAAGGACAGGAATTACTGGGTTCTCGACAAGAGTCAAAGGTCCCAGGTGGGCTAAACTGATGCAGAACCAGAGATTAAATTGCTGGATTAAATTGTCCCCACTGCCCTGCTCATGCTGTCAGCAATCCCTGAGCCAACACACAGAACTACGCACCTGGGACCAGCCCCAGCCCCTGACTTCTTGCACCAGGCTCTGGGGATGATAGGTCCTAGAGATGAGCAGATTTACTCTTGGCTCCCATCACCTACAGGCAACCGCAACCAGCTGTTCATGGGTCCTGGAAAAAGTTCAGCGGTCACCCCATCAATTCTCCACTGCCTCCAAAGGGGACAAAGTGAGAGCAACCTGAAGGCTGAAACCCATCTGACTAATTCAAGACATTGAGCTCCAGTTTACCTTCCTTGCTGTCAGGATGAGGAGACTATTTCCAAAGGGCATTTCTACATCTCAGAAAAGGTTGTTTGTGGTAGGGTGGGGATGGGCGGAAGGTGGAGATGGAGAGTTCCCAGGGTCACAGGGAATAAGGAAGAACTTTCCAATTCATCCCCTACCGTGTCTTGCCAGGCACCCCTCTACCCCTATTCCCTTTTTGGGAACACAAACAAAGGTTCCAAGTCCTTAAACCCTGGGGGAGATGAGCACTGGGAACGAAGCAGGTCAGGGGGTCCAGGCCAAGCCAAGGCTGTGGGCTGCCCCCATAACCTTCGCTCCACACTCTGACCACTTCTCACCCTCCAAAACAGCACCCTCCCACCTGGCTCATTGGAACTGTAACTTCTGGAAGGTGTCCAGGCAGAGGCAGTGGCAGCCCCGGGCTTCCAGGGCACTGTGGGAGATGTAGTTCAGGCATCTCCTGGACCAGTCTCCAGCAAGAGGGGCAGCGTCTCCCTCCCCAAGGAAACAAGTCCTTGGGGCCACTCTTTTAATCTCATAAATATGAATGACCCCTTTGGAGAGGGGGCGATTGGAGTCATCGCTGGGCATGCTGGGAGTCCCCTCCCCCTCCCCCACTGCACCCCACACACCTGAAATCTTGATGCTCTTGAGGCCAAAGGCTTCTCCAAATGAGGAGAAAGGGAAGGGAGCAGAGAGACGGAGAGGCGGAGAGGCGGAGACAAAGAAGGCAGCTACACAAAGCGCCCAAAGATGAGAGCGAAAGGGCAGGAACGGCGGCGGAAAGAAGACAAAGGCAGACGGGGGGCGCGGGGCCGGAGGGGACAAGAGCGCGGAGGGGAGGAGGCCCCCGTCCCTAATCACAGGCAGACACCTCATGACTCCGGGCCCAGCAGATGCCAAAAAATCCTAGCACTCGCCCCCTCCCCAGGGGGAACATAAATAGAAAGCAGGGTGACACGCCGCCTCCTCCCGGGGGCTGTAGTAGGGGGCGGGCAGGGGTCAAGGGGAGGAGAAAGTCAGAAAAGAGGCAGGAAGAGAACACCTCGAAAACAGAGACAGGGGAGACGGGATGAAGTGGGGCGCGCTGGAAGGCCCCGGGCGCAGAGGCAAGGGACGGGGAAGATGGCCCCGCGGGCGGGGGAGGGGGTGGTCTTGGGGAGGGGCGCAGTCGTGGGGGAGGGGGCTGTACCGAAGGGTCTTCCCGGGTGAGGATCTCCCCTCCTCCCCTTTCCCGGAGTGGAAGCGGCGTCGCTCCGGCGCAGCCCCCGCGGCGGCTCCGAGGGGCAGGGACCCCCAGCGACGCGGAGGAAACCCGGGACGGATCTGGAGCCGACTCGAGTCCCGATGGGGGTTCCGGGAGCCCCTCGCAGTGGGCGCGGCCGGGTGGCCTCGAGTCGTGCCAACGAGACTCCGCCACTTGTTCCTGCTGGAGAGCGATACCGGGGGTTGGGGGTGTCTCGGGTTTTGGTGGAGGCGGTGGTTGCTGGCTTAGTCATCGCGCCCGCTTCCCCAGCACCTCTATTCTCGGTTGGGGAGTCCCCTCCTCCAGGGGCCACCCCCTTAACGGAATCCCCTCTCTCCGACTCTGGCCGGTGGATAAGTACGAGCTGCTGGAAAGGGGACTCCGAGTCTTCGCGCTCCCCACCCCCACCCCGCCCCCGCCAGGTCTGAGAAACTGACTTAAGAAATCGGCAACCCGAGAAGACCGGGACGCAAAGAGACACCAAGCTGAGAGGCTGAAAGGAGAGGAGCGAGGCCAAGACGCCTCAGTCCCAGAGTAATCCCGGTCTCCGAGTGCACTGGCCCCTCAGCCCGCACTCACCAGATCTTATCTCCCCGGTGGCCGGCAGGCAGCGAGGCCGCCCGCGGGGCAGCACGCAGAAAAAAAACCTTCCAGGAACACCGTGTACAACCGAGCGCACACACAGAGGCCTCGGCACACACCAGGCCTGCACCCCCTGCTAATCTTGGTGGGCGGAAGGCAGAGTGGGAGGAAGAGCAAGGAGTGCACCTGGGACCAGGGTGGGTGCAGAGCTACCCGACTCTAAAAAAAGCTGGTGGCTCAGTCTCATTTCCTGCGGGGCTTCCTACCCCACCTATAAAGTGAGATAAGAACACACGCAGTCCTGCCTGGAATGAGCCAGGAGAGTGATGGACAAAGCTCTTTAGTAACTGCAATGTGCTCTAGAGATGCACGGATGTTAAGGGCTCCTGAGGTCTGCTGGAGGCCTTCCCGCCAGGGCTGTCCAGCCTCTGTGACCCGCTCCCCCGCCACACACACCCCAAAATTTATGCTCACCTATCTCATTCCATTTTTGTTCTTTCCAAGGTGATAATGCCTGGTAAACTGATCCCATTGAATGTGCTAATGTGATAAGGTGAGGGGATCATGTTCTTGGACTCACTTACACAGAGCCACACCAAGGGTTAAAGGGTTGGGAATTAGGAGATGGGATTTTAGGCCCAGGTAGGACAAAAAGAAACAGACAAGTAATTCAAACTTTAAAAAAAAAAAAATTATATATATATGACTTCACCCCATTTCTGATTTCTGAACGTGCTAACACACCACACATCTCACAAAGCTGCAGTTAAGGTGGCATATGCTCCATAGTGGTAGAGCACATGACAAAGTTAAAAGTTTCAAGGAAAAAGTCACTAGTGGCCAAAGGGAGATGCAATCATATTCTAATCCCATCCCTTTCACCAGAAGTCTTGCCTTCTGCCACCGGAAACTTTTGGACTGGCCTAACACTCACCCATCTTCAGTCCCCCCAACCAGTCAGAACTGAAAGTTTCACAACATTCTGATCCCCCTCATTTCCAAGCCACTTAGAAGCAAGATGTCACCTTAAGTCCCACCTCTAGACCACTCAGTGGGCCAATAGAAAGCCATCTCATTCCAATCTCCATTCTCAGATTTCTAGGGTAGCCAGGATTCCTCCCATCCCAATTCCCCTAGAGGCTAGGGGGCAGTGGTGTTGGGGAGTTAAAAGATGACTTTCTCTCCCAGAAAGAAAGAGCAAGTGGTTTTCAGCATCCTTAGGTTTTTGGAGGATGCAGGGAACTCACTCATTACTCCCCCCTCCCCCAGGGAGGGCATTAATCCATTCATAAGGGATCTGCCCCCATGACTCAATCAGTTTCCAGCACTGCCACATTGGGGATCGAATTTCCACATGAGTTTTGGAGGGGACAACACATCCAAACTTCATCATCATTATAAGCAACAGAAACAGACTAAGAGAGAAAATTGGTACCAGAGAAGGGAGGGGGTGTTGCCTATAACAAATACCTGAAAATGTGGAGGTGGCTTTGGAACTGGGTAATGGGCAAAAGCTGGAAGAATTTGAAGGAGCAGGCTAGAAAAAGCATAGTTGCTGGTGGGAGTTTAGAAGACAAGAAAACCAGGGAAAGTTTGAAAGTTTGGAATATCTTAGAGACTGGTTATGTGGTGGTGAGCTGAATGCTGATAGAAATATGGACAGGAAAGGCCATTCTGAAAAGATCTCAAATGTAAATGAGAAGGAGCTTTTTAGAAACTGGGACAAAGGTCACCCTTGCTATGAACTGGTAAGGAACTTGGCTGCATTCTGTTCATGCCTAAAAGCTCTACGGAATTTGGAACTTCAAGGTGCTGACCCAGGGTATTTGGTAGAAGACATTCCAAAGGAGCAAAGCATTGGGCCGGCCCGTGGCTCACTCAGGAGAGTGCGGTGCTGATAACACCAAGGCCCCGGGTTCGGATCCCACATAGGGATGGCCGGTTTGCTCACTGGCTGAGCGTGGTGCTGACAACACCAAGTCAAGGGTTAAGATCCCCTTACCGGTCATCTTTTAAAAAAAAAAAACAAAAAAAACAAAAAAAAACTGGCAATATCAGTTGTTGACAAGGATGTGAAGTAAAAGATACTTTCATTCCCTGCTGGTTAGAGTATCAATTATTACAGTCACTTTGTAAAATAAGTTTGGCATTATCTACTAAAATTAAAGGTGTGCGTACTTCGTAACACAGCGATTCTATTCCTAATGCTAAGTAGCAATCCTACTCCTTTTGTCTTTTTTTTTTTTTTTTTTTGTCTTTT